CACATACACACACGCGCACACACACACACACACACACACACACACACACACACACACACACACACACACACACACACACATTCACACACATGCACATGCACACACATGCACACACACACATGCACATACACACACACGCACATACACACACACATGCACACACGCAGACACACATGCACACCACACACATAGCATGCGCGCACGCCTTTATTTATCAATTGAATCGATCGATCAATCAATCAATCAATTGCATATCAATCGGTCAATCAATCAATCAATTACATATCCATCAATCAATCATTCAATTGACCAATCAATCACATATCAATCAATCAATCAATCAATCAATCACTTACATATTAATCAATCGATCAATCAATCAATCAATCAATCAATCAATCAATCAATCAATCAATCAATCAATGGTCAACAAACAGAAGCCTTTAGCAAAGATACCAAGACAAAAAGTGCAAACGAGCTCCAGAATGCAGCTACGAAATGACTGTTCAACGAGGTTACCAGGATCGCCCCCTGACCCAGGCGCAAGACCAAAAAGGGGATCTTTTTTTTGGGCAGTGGGGCAATTTTGTGCCCACTGAGACGAGCCCAAATGCGGCCTCATCTTTGAATTTGGCGATATCTTACCAAAGGGTGTCTAGGGCAGATAAGCGGGGGTTCAAAAGGGCTTGAAGGGTCTTAAAAGGACTTAAAGGGGTATGATATAATTTAGTATTTTGTTTTTATTTCAGATTCCATAACGAATTTCGGGGTGACCCTCAGCCAAAAGTTGTTTGCTTGGCAATTCTGCATGACATAGTTTTTTTTCAGATTTTTTTCTTTCTTTTTCTTTTTTTTTGTGCTGGGACTGCCTGGGACCTTCACCGGGACCTTCACCGGCCACGCCAATCTGAGGCAATCTGAGGCAATCTGAGGCAATCCTGGTGGCCTGGCTGGTAACCCAGCTGTTCAACAATTATTATTGGATCACCATCCATAGCTGTTGCACATTATTTCACGCTAGAGAACGACACAGTGTACACAGTCATGAGTGGACGAATCAATTTCTTCAAATACATGCAAATTGTTTATTGAAGACAAATTGATGCGCGCACCGAGGGTTACTTACATTACAGAATTGATCACCGTAACCAAAAAAGCATATGCACACACATAGTGACATACATACATACATAATATTATATCTGCATCACATAATGCGTGATCCATAGGCAGAAAGGGAGAAAATGACGCGGGCTGTGAGGGTTCGTCAAAAATAAAAATAATGCACAGGACATCATAATACGGGAAAAAAATGAAATGCATATACAGCATATCAGAAACGAAAACATGTTCTCCCTTGTCCGAAACACACACACACACACACACACACACACACACACACACACACACACACACACACACACACACACACACACACACACACACAGAGTAACATACATATTACAATGACATGTATGCGTCACATAATGCGCGTATAAATATCCATAGAGAACTTCCCGGTGATCCGTAGGCAGAAAGGAAGAAAATGACAAGAAAGAGCGGGCTGTGAGGGTTCGTCAAAAATAAAAATAATGCACAGTACGTCATACATAATACGACAAAAAAAAAAAGAAAAGCATACACAGCGTATCAAACACAAAAACATCTTCTCCCTGGTCCGAAATATATAGTCCTCCTTGTCCTCCAGTGAAATGTTCTCTCGGGACATCCGTGAAAATTGGAACGATACAGAGAATATTACTCCTTTGACCAGGTAAGTTAGATGCATACTGCCGCTATTTGGACATCGTGAACCGAAATGGGCAGGCCCTACCAGGTTCTCGCCAAAAACAATACCGTATTGGATTTTTTTTTAATCAAATTACGTGAACGCGTCGAAGTTAGAGCAACGGCGAACCGATTTGGAATTTCGAAGAAGCTTCTTGGACCGGCAGATTGGAATTGGATGTTTTTTTTTATCAAATTAGGTGAACAAGTCGAAGTTAGAGAAACGGCGAACCTATTTGGAATTTCGTAGAAGCTTCTTGGACCGGCAGATTGGGATCCGCCATGTAGTCCAAGCGTTTTTTATTCTTGTAGAAGCTTCTTGGACCGGTAGTTCAGAATAGGACATCTTGTGAACCGATATGGACAGGTATTTTTGAAACTTGGACAGACCCACTGTGCCCTTCGTCAAAGGACCGAACGATTTAGACTGACGAGCGCATAAATTGGTGGGCCCCACAGAAAATTGTGCGTCGCTCATGTGTGTCCTGCGCACATCCACCTAGGTACGGCTACCCACGTGCATGCAGTCTCGCGTGTGCTGCGTGCATCCATCAACGTGCATTCACTTCCGCCGAGCATAGACCCACGGGCCTTGTGCATTCACGTGCCTGAGATGCCATTCACGTGCCTTGTGCGTTCGATGATTGCACAAGGCCCGTGGGTTCAATGATTGCACAAGGCCTGTGGGTTCAATGATTGCACACGAGAACCCATGTGCATGATCCGATTGCACAAGGCCCGTGGGTTCAATGATTGCACAAGAGAACCCACGTGCATGCACTCTCTATGATCTTTCGCCTCTGAACATGCACTCTCTATGATCTTTCGCCTCTGAACATCGTCAATGCGGTTGTACCTGCCTCGCCTAGGTGGATGTGCCAAGGATGGATTAGAGAGGTGACACGAAACTTCGGCAAAGCTAATCGAGGCGAAGTTCTACCCACGTGCATGCACTCTCGCGTGTGCTGCGTGCATCCATCAACGTGGATTCACTTCCGCCGAGCATAGACCCACGGGCCTTGTGCATTCACGTGCCTGAGATGCCATTCACGTGCCTTCTGCGTTCACGTGCCCGTGGGTTCCATGATCTGATTGCACAAGGCCCGTGGGTTCGATTATTGCACAAGAGAACCCACGTGCATGCACTCTCGATGATCTTTCGCCTCTGAACATCGTCAACGCGGTTGTACCTGCCTGGCCTAGGTGGATGTGCCAAAAGGATGGATTAGAGAGGTGACACGAAACTTCCGCAAAGCTAATCGAGGCAAAGTTCTACTGTAGGTCGACAGTTTACAGGAGCAGCAGGCCCGTGATTCAGACGCATGTGACTAACATGCAAAATCGCTTCACTAAATTGATATCTTTGTTGGTCCCGATGGTGTGCGCAGAATCTCAAATCGGCTGATTGTTGTACTAAAAATGTGGCTTTGGCAGTACTAATTTGTTAAATCAATCTGCCTAACTCTGTCATGCATCCAAACTGTTAAATCATTCTGTCCAAAATGGTCATCATTTATCCCAACCTATATCCAGCATGTCCAAAATGCTCATCGTTTCTCCCAACCTAAATCTGATATGTCCAAAATGCTCAGCACTTCTCCCAACCTATATCGGCTGTCCAGATCGGTTCGGATCATATACTAAATAGGAAAATCGAACTGACCAATTCGGTTTGATGATTGTCCAATTGAATTTTCGATTGTCCAAATCGCTTCACCTTGATCCTAACTTACCTGGTCAAAGGAGTAGTATGGCCCCTGCGCGAGAACGACACGCAACAAACAAAAAATGGTCCAAATCTTTTTCTTTTTTAAAAGAGAAGGGAGAAATGGTTCCCTTTCCATCCACCCTCCATCCTTCCTCTCCTTCTTCCCTCTGTCCGTTTGCTCTACTCAAACCGTGAGGAACATACGTTTGTTTCCCTTCTTTGCTCGATTACGTAATCAACCACGAGTCTTACTTTGATTTCGTGCAAGTCCCTATCCACCAAACTCGTACCTTCTTTCCTGCCTTCACTTCCTCTCCTCCCTTCCGAAAACCTATTCTACTCTTCTGCTGCTGCTGCAAACAAAAAAAAAAAAACGATCCTTCCCTCCTCCGCCCTACCTTCTGCACGTGATTTCGTACCGTTAAAAAAAAAATCTACTACTTTTTTTTTTTTTTTTTTTCGATTGCCTTCTTCGATAGTCGGCCGACAAAAAAAAAAATAGAAATTCTCATAACAGTAGACCTTCTGAAAATTTTCTTTAAGTTGTATTCGGGACATCCGGAAAAATTGGAAGGACGCAGAGCAGATATCCATGGCCTCTGCGCAAGGATGACACGCATAAATCGAGAAATGATCCAAAATGTTCCTGCCGGGAGGCAGTGTAAAAAAAAAAAGTTTTTTTTCCGCTCTTTACAGCGGCCACCGTTACGACTCTTGCAAATGATACAAGTAAATAATATAAAAATATATTTTTTTCCCGGCTACATTTTCCATTTGTTAGGGCGATCCTTGAACGCACTACCATTATTATAATAGGATCTCCTACTCCACTTGGATATCACTATTGCCAAATCCAAGAATGGAGAATCTATCGTGCCATAGAACACCACCGCAAGACGTTTTCGCCATTTTTACAATTGGCGATTGGTGGAACGAGGCTAAAACCAGCAATGCCGTCCGCAGGTTGAGCATATTTCGCAACTTGCGCAGATTGCCCATGTTGCGCACGTTGCGCAAGTTAAGCATGTTACGCACGTTGCGCACGTTGCGCACGTTGAGCAACTTACGCATGTTGCACACGTTGCGCACGTTGCGCACGTTGCGTACGGTAAACAAGTTGCGCACGGTGCGCACGGTAAACAAGTTGCGCACGTTGCGCACGGTACACAAGTTGCGCACGTTGCGCACGGTAAACTCTCAAGAATACACTTCACGGGCGTTTCTTAGCAACCTTTGCTATCCTAACTTTTTTTAACCTTTATCCCGAATAGAACGTGGGCCCATTAATACCATTATAAACCTTGATTCTACCCTGCTAATAGCTGTGGTTACAAACATAATGATGAACCTCAGCGCTGATCGGAAGAAAAAAGGGTGGCGTTTTTCCCTTTCGTTCCATGCACCTTAAATTCCATTTTTTTCTCGTTGCATCTGGACTGTGATATGATCGCCTCTTTCCCCCCCCTCCGGCCATCCTCCCCCGCCCCTCCCCGCGGCGCCATCAGTTTCCTTTCTTTTTTTTTTTTTTAAAGGCTATTTCATGAAGCCCAACCAATTGGCCCATCGAAGAAGCTCGGTCCTGATGCTACCGGCTGACCCCTGGCCGGTATCGCCCACCCGGTGTAGCCGGTATCGCACCTGCTGGTGGGTGCAGCTCCCGCATGTTCCCTCGTTGGAGGCTTGAGCACGGATGTGGCTGCTACGGGGTTCCCCGTAATAATACTATAATGACAATAAAAAAGGCCTGAAAGACCGTCCTGTCCAGAGACTGTCTTATGACCACCTATCCACCTCCCTCGCCCCCGAGGTTTTCCAATCCCCTTTCTCCTTAAACACACACACACACACACACACACATTTTCCCCAACCTCTGAAAGTCAAACAATTAGTAGAAGGGAAAAAAATGGTGGTTCTGCAACTTCCACTTCTCCATTAATTTCCGATACTAGTCTTAAAACAACGTTCTCAACGTTCTTTTTCTTTTTTTTCCTCAGTTTACTTGCTTTCTCTCACTTTCTTCATGCTGCGATCGATGGTTTTAAGGCGAAAAGGATCAAAGGATGACACGATGCTCCCACTCTGAGATGTTGGGCAGAAGAGAGGCAGTGGCGTGAGGGCGAATAAAAGGGTTCTACTCGGAGATGCTGGGAAGAAGAGAGGCAATGGGTGGAGGGACAGTGAGAGGGGGGGCGCTCAGCTTGTGCTTCGGGAGATCAGCTCTTGTGGGATGCGGAAGGGTACCTTGACGGACACTGGAAGAAATTGGGGGCGAGGGGAAAAAGAGGGAAACAGCGAGAGAGAGAGAGAGAGCAGAGAGGGAAGGAGAGGAAGTGCAGGACGGTATGTGATTGGGAGAACCACCAAATGAAGGGGGCAGGGGCAGAGGAATGATGGTAGGGGGGAGGAATGATGGTAAGGCAGCGTAGCGCAACGAAAAGAGAGACCAAAGAAAAAGGGCGGGATCACTGAAGGAGGAAATGATGCAACAAATCAAACTGTTTCGAAAATGAAGTCCAACTATAAGAAAAGGGTGAATGCAGAAAAAAAAAAAAAAAGGATCGATTCTTTTCTCTCGATTCTTTTCTCTTTTTCTTTTCCCCATTCTCGAAGGACCGCTCCGTTGAGAAAGAAAAAAACGATTTAAAAAAAAAAAGGAGAGCAATTGAGTCCTTTAGGACATATCCTTACAATCTGAAACGGTCTGGAGAGGGGAAAGAGGCGAGATGGTTGATTTATGAGTCCATTAGCAAACTCTTTGAAGAGGACCCGGGAGAGGGGAAAGAGGCGAGATGGTTGGTTTATGAGATATTTTCCGGCCTGAGGCAATTCTTATTTCAGGGTCGGCGGGTATCAGGACAGCGGTCTGGGCTAAATCTGCCGCTGGATTTGACCCCGACACCACCACCTAAGCTGGGTAGAGGTCCCAGTAAACTGGCTTCTTCTTCTTCTTTCATTTTCTCCGCGCTGTTTGTGATCAAACTGGTTTCTTCTTCTTTCACTTTCCCGGCCTCTCCTTTTGATGTGCGTAATCAAATGAGCTGAGTTAAAAAAATAAAGATAAAAAATAAAAAATAAAAAAAAGGCGAGGTGGATAGGCCGCGACAGCGTGGTGCCGCTGCTGCAAAAGCTGAAGAAAAGAGGCCATGATTGGGCTGGTGCTTCCCGGTTCCGAGTTTCCTTAAACAGCACATCACGCACCAGGTCAATTCTTTGGACCAGGTTCATGCGAAAAAAGTGAGTACGCAATTCCGCCATGGACACTCCGTCGGACGTCTCACTCACCGCGAAATTATCGTGCGCGAGCCGACTAGATTGAATGCATCATCCATGGTCGTGATTAAGGACAAAGGTGAAAGAAAAAAAAAAAAAAAAAAAAAGAACCGTGCCGAGATTACGGACTATGCAATCCGCAATTAACACCCCACAAGGGAGGGCCTTGGCTCGATAAGAGGAGGACAGAGAATTACCACAGAGAAAGGAGGGGAGCAGAAAGAGAGAGAGAGAGAGGAAAGTAGTACGACAAATCCAGGGGTATGGCACTAAACCTTCCCAGGACCCGAGCAAAGTGCACTGGTGAACATGGCGACCGGGCTTCGTATGTACGGACCTACCAAATCCCGGTGAAATTCACTCTCTATTAAGAAGAAACGGTCGCGCACTGGTGGAATAACACGGACGTGTGAGATTGCCATTTTCGGCGTCGTCCTCGCTTGCAATAAGAAGAGGACTAACTCGGTGGCTTGTGAAAAGGAGAGGCAATATGCACGACGCAAACAAGGGCGACAGAGGGGGAACTCGGGGAGCTGGGGGGGGGGAGGNGGGGGGGGGGAGGGAGAGGAAAATACCGAAGGCAAAATACGTGAGCGTAAAGGTCGGGGGAGAGGGGGAAAGAAAGTTATTTGGCTAAGGGAAGGAAGCGGATTGTGTGGTTAAGTGGTTAAGGGAGATGGTTAAGGGAAGGAAACGGATTATTTGATTAACGGAAGGAAAAGGACGTCGGGAGTGCAGAAGGGGATAAGGAGCCGGCGAAAGCGACGAGTGGAGTCGAGCGGGAGAGTAGTGGAAGAAATAGGAGGGAGGAGGAGAAAAGAGAGAGAGAGAGGCCCAGACGGAAACGCGAAAGAGAGAGGAGACAACGGCGAGGGAAGACGACGAAAGAGAAGGCAGCGGAGAGAGACTTGGTGAGGCAGTAGGCAGAGGAGGACACGTACATGCAGTCATACAAAGGCACCTTCCCATTGCTCATCTCTCACCTTCGAATACGCCATATCCGTAAGTTCGCGCGCTTGAGAATCAATGCGGAGCAGATTGATAGAACGCTAAGCAGTACAGCAAACCATACGTGCTTTAACCGATTCTCGAAGATGTCCATTCCGACGAACTCGATCGATCAACCGATCAACCGATCAACCGATCAATCAAGCAATCAATCATTCGATCAGCTAATCAATCAATCGATCGATCGATCAATCAAGTACCCGACCAATCAATCAATCGACTACTTGACTTCATGAGGAAGTTTGCTCAGATCAGGTGAATCAATCCATCAATGGATCGATTGATCGATTGATCGATCCATCAACCAATCAATTTATCCCTCAATCGACCCCATACGGCACGCAAGCGCTACCACTCCTTCCGCGGATTGCCAGACAACCACCTTGCCTTTCCTCCTGTAATGAAAAACGACGAGCTTTTCCACGCCGGCAGCCGCCCTCTACTCCTGCTCCTCGACCTCATCAATTACCAACGAAACACTCCCGTCATGAGCCGTGAACACCATCCCACACCACCTTTCACCGCGCATGAACCCTCCTAAACCCTCCGTTTAATACTCTTCCCGAACCGTAATCATTAGATACCACCGGCGTTCCAATCTGCCCGGTTCGCTTGCTTATGTAACTCACCCTTTCACCCTGCATATGGCATAGTAGTTGCTTCCAAGGTGCCTGTCTATCCTCGGCGTTGCACGCTCTCTCTCTCTCTCTCTCTCTCTCTCTCTCTCTCTCTCTCTCTCTCTCTCTCTCTCTCTCTCTCTCTCTCTCTCGCTAAGTCAGATGAGCAACCTCTATACTTCGATCTGGACGTAGTCATGATTGACTTCACTTAGGGCACACTCGCTCAAGGACNAAACCCTCCGTTTAATACTCTTCCCGAACCGTAATCATTAGATACCACCGGCGTTCCAATCTGCCCGGTTCGCTTGCTTATGTAACTCACCCTTTTCCACTGCATATGGCATCACCCCACGCGCCCGCTACCCTGTCTATCCTCGCCCTTGCTCTCTCTCTCTCTCTCTCTCTCTCTCTCTCTCTCTCTCTCTCTCTCTCTCTCTCTCTCTCTCTCTCTCTCTCTCCTTCGGAAAGTCAGAGGTTGATATGTTATACTTCGATGGGCGTGAAATCCCGATTGACTTCACTTAGGGCACACTCGCTCAAGGACTTCCCTGGATCTCTCCGACGAGACACTTTACGGCCAGAATTCTTTTCACTCAAAAAAGTCCCAGGTGTAACGACGGCCTTGTTGTCTGTCGTTATCTGGGCTCTCGGCCATTGACTTGCTTTCCTTCTTCAGCTCTGCTAACAGAGGTTCTCCGGTCCTCCTTACAATTCCCCCACGACACTTGTCCTTCCTTCCACAAGACCTCCACTTTCACTTGTTGTTCTCTGTTTCGCTCTGCACCCCCACATATCCCAACCCAACGAAAACTCGAACAAACACCTCAAGCCGTCGCGAAGTCGTCCGACACACCCCCACGCAGAGGAATCGTCTCACCACGTCACCTACCTTCTCTTCCCGCGCTTTACGCTTTCTTACCGCTCCCCGCTTTACACTTTCTTACCGCCCCCGGTACCCGATCCTCGGTCTCCCACCCTCGCCCACCACGACACACTTTCCGTGAGTCCATTAGTTTCACCGAGAACGTCGATGTGCGCTGAAGTGCGTTACTGCTCTCGCGCCCTCTCGCACCCTTTCCCGCGCCAGCAAACAGGATTTGCTGATTGATTTTCAATTTCAAAAGATACGACCGTGTAGTTGGTCGCGGTCCGGGCCCCTGGCACCTTTCGCGGCTGCTCCAGACCACGAGCGGCATCGACGGCATGCGCGGGAAGAGCAGCGCAGCGAGTTGAACCTTCACCTGTTTGGTGTTGCAGGTCTTGTGCAATGTTCTATTCGCGGCACGTGTCAATAAGCTGACACTCATAAGAAGCTCGCAACGTGGCGTCAAACCAGCAGCCGCGCCGCAACGGAGGGGTTCGGGCCGGTTACCCTCGATTCGTTTGCCGGTCCTGCATCACGATCACACGCACAGAGCGCATATTCACATTCAGCAATTTTTCCCCTGTTTCGCGAGGTTTGGGAGAAAGGGGAAGGAAAGTGGGGAGGGGGGCGTAAGGAGGAAGGTGTGTCCCATTACATCACAGGCCCTAGTAGACGACACAAGCGTCGGCCCTGCCCAGAATAGTCCAGTGTTCCATTTCCTTACCACCATCACCAACCCCCCTTCTCCGGAACTCGCGGCCGCAATCACGGTGCAAAACAACAGGCTTGGACTGCCAGATTCGAGGGGGCTACCAGGGGCGTCAAGTACCCCAAATTTGGGGTGCGCAAAACTCCGAGGGCATGATCCGACACTACATAGGAATCCGTAGATCCAAAAAGAGCCGAAAAAGATGCAAGCGGCCCGGACGGGACGTGAAAGAGATTTCGTACCCCACACACCCGCCTGCAGAACTTTCACGGAACCCGCGGGGAAAGTTGGGCAGTGGGCGGTCCTGGACTTCGGGTCAAGGGGTGGCGGACACTACCCAACTTTCCCCGGGCGTTTCGTGAAAGTTCACTTGGGCGGTAGGGGTGGGCCTGGGCGGCAGGGAGGCCGTGGCGCGACATTTTTCGAGCGGCAGCCGCTATCGCTCATTTTCCATGGGGCCCAGCGTCCAAACAAGGGGTCAAAAGGGCCTTGGCAGCGGAGTGTGATCACCACGTGGAAATCCAATGGGCAGGGAGCCCTGTCGTCGGTTGGGGACGCGAGTTGATGCCACCTTGCAGTGGAGGCAGGACGGCGTGCTCCTCCGTTGTGCCACTCACAATCTTCTGTTGGGTGCGTGGCTACTCCGCTCGGCGCGTGTTCATGGCCCCTGCTGTGATGGCCCCTGCTGTCCAAGCAGGGTCGAAGGGAACGCCATCTGTACTGTACCCTCCCCTCTTCAAACACCTTCGTATTGGTAGGCCGTCCCTGTGGTAGAGCACCTGCCCGTCACGGGCGCTAGCTGGACATTTTTTTCCTTAGACATGTCCACACTGTGGTCAATAGAGATTTGGGGTTTGTGCTTCTTCTTTTTTTTCATTTTTTTCCCAAAATCTCCCTCTTGTTATCCACTGCTTTGCTCGTGCATTGCCTTGCCATGGATCGAAAAGCTTTGGCCCTCATGCTCACTGCCATCATTCTATGGCGGAGGTTAAAGCACCAGGCCCCTTTCGGAGGCCGCCCGCCACCGATGCATTTTGTCTGCAACACTCGGCCTCCTAAATTTCCGGAGAGGCTCAAAACAGGCTCTCCAGTTGCCACACCTGGTGAGAGCCAGATCTAGCTATTTTTCCTTGCGCAGTTGCGGCCAACGTCGAAGAACAATAATACCAGATCCACGCTGCGAGTCCTAAGGCTGAGACGTCAGAAGAAGAGGGTCTGTGACGCCCAACCTCACCCGGCGCGACTTCCCGATCGGAGTAGGATGGGGGCCTGGAAGTGCGAAAACAGGGTGTGCCAAGGATTTTAGGAAAGTGGGGGTGGAGTCCCAGGTCGGAACTGAGATCTCCGGTGGCAAGCTTAGGGACAATGGTGCAAGATGGTATGCGAAGATCGTGTCTGGGATTATCGTATCTGCCAGTCGTGTCGCTGTGGTCGGCTTCGTGGGTTGTAGTGGCGGTCGCGCAGTTCGACCAGTTGTCGGCGACGCTCGGCTTCGGTTCGGGTTCGCCGAGCAATTTCCGAAGCTCGATATGCCTGGCGCCGCTTTTCGCACGGTGGGTGGGGCCAATAGCGGGCTATTAAATTCCACGGCATCACTGTGAGCTGGTGATATGGATGAAGGAGGTGAAAGGGAGGGAAACTGGTGGTAATAACGACGGAGCCGGGGGATATGTAATAATGTGTGTTATAAGTGTCCAGATAGTCGGGGCCCCTAGGATCGTTAGTTATGGCACAGCGAAAGTCTCTTGCGCACAATTGGTCGTTCTCTGTCAGACAAGGGAGTTCCGGATTTCTTAAGTTTCCCCGCCGTCTGAGTTGTTCACCTTCCCAGTATTCACTATATTCCGGGTCCCTCAGGCTCTCACGATTGGGGATCCAAGAGGGAAATTCTGCAGCCATATCCGTTTAGCGAACTCGGTCTCCTGCATCCTTATCCTGGGTTCAAGGTTGACTCATGCAGACGAGCGCGTACGCGGCGACTCGGCTTTCTCGAGATCGCGGTCGTAAGCGAGCACACGCATGAGAAACAGCGGATCGGTCTCGGGGTTCAGTGTACCGATCGCGTTCGGCATACATGCAACTATCCTACTCATGCTACGTTGGGTGAGATCCAGTCATTACATTCATATCCATGCCATACACGTGACGAAAATGAGAGAAAAGGGGAAAGGGCAATCAACTCCTCACAACATTCTTGGTGATCGAAGACTAACGATTAAACTCAAACATCCATAGCGAGTGCTTCCAATCATATCTGAGCGTATGGCTCACACAAATGGATATTAGACGGTGACGAAACAGACATCGCAAAACAAGATTGGAAATCTGAAAAGATCGCTAATAAAAAGGAATTCACATTCATTTCATGCATACATACGAAGTAAAAACGACAAGGAAAATCCGAGACGATTTACAAAGATAAGTAAAAAAAAAACGAAACAAAATCGGTTATATCAGGAGTCAAAATTATACAGATAAACAAAGGAAAGAACCTCATCCCACGCCCACAGCTGCTCTCTCTCTCTCTCTCTCTCTCTCTCTCTCTCTCTCTCTCTCTCTC